CTGGAGCTTCGTATAATCCCCGACCTCTGGTCCTTCCGACACATCCTAAAAAGTTGGCTTTTCCAGCAAGCCCGCCTGGCGTGAACAAAATAAAATAAATGATTGATTATTGTTAATTTTAATCATTTAAAAAAAATGTTATTATTAATCTTAATTGGGTTTGTTTTTTGGATACTCTATCTAATTTTTTAAAAACTTTTGTAATATGTGGTTTTTTTTTAATGTTGTACGCCGCCCTGAGTCCTTGGGAGAAGGGCGGCATATAAATCCAACAAACAAACAAACAAACAAACAACAGGTTTTTTTTTTTGGAAGACCTTTTGTTTCTCATCCAAGAAGCTTCTTCAGCTCTGACAGGGAATGGAAGGATTTATATTCCTTGCAGACAGCTGGAGATTTATTTGTGTCCCAAGAGTCACCTGAATAGTCCTCCTGGTTCCTGTATGAGATAAACCTCCAAGTGCTTCATTCAGCAACCCTCTAAAAGGATGCAAGGATCAAAAGAAAAAACGAGAAAGTCCAGGTGTCTCCTGAAAAAGCACCTTTGGGACAACCATGATCTGAGTGACTGAGAATCTCTACAGACTCTTCAGCAAAGTGCTATTTTTTCATCTCAGCCCACACACATTAACCCCACTGCAGGGGAAAGTGGATTATTTTAAGAATTATGGAAACAGTTAAATCATATGAGCGCTAGCAAACAAGGAAATCCATGCTGCTATTATCAGATAAAAGAATGGTTATTAGAAGAAACATATAATTCTTTTATTGGGTAGAGGTAGTCCTCATTTAGTGACCACAATTGGAACAGGCAACAGTCATTAAGCAAAGCAATTGCTGAAACATCATGATTTTACTTCCGTTTTCCTTTGCTTTATAGGCCTGCAAAGGTGGTAAATGCATGGAATGGTTAGTTATTTCTTCATCACCATTGCAACTGCAAGTGGCTGCAGTGCAAGGCAGTCGTTGAATGAGGATTACCTATAACGTTGAAAATATTAAAATTAGCTTAAAATACACAATGTCCTACTGATGCATGAAAAGCTAGCAGACCTCTGCTTCATTTAATAGGATTATTTTGCACACTCATGCTAAAGAAATACACCGAGGACGTATTCTTTTAAAGTCTTCTCTTCACAATCCAAACGAAATGCATTAAGATTCATTGGTGCACACTGTAGCTTCTACTACATCACTTACACTTACTTTCTCCTGCCATCAAACACTATTTAGCAGACTAAACTCATCTGAAAAAGTACTTTGTTTAGTGCTACGTGCTAATTGGGGCAGTGGAAGTCAAACACGTATCTGGATTTCAAATGCTTGTTAGAAGTGGTTTTGGGCTGCACACAATTCCAAGTGAATGAATGGTGGGAATTATTTAATTTTGTTTAGCCATTCCTGGGGCCCAACAGGAACAAATCCAAATTGCATTAATTAGCCTGCTTCTTTTTTCAGGATAAGCTCTAATGCTACCCTTGTGTTTATGGTTGCACCATTCACTTTCATGTACAGTTAAGTAGTCTATCAATGCAGGAGTAGTTTTCATACAAAATGAATATGTCTGACTATCCTTAATTTGCAGTTTATTTAAAGAATACTCCTGAAAATGTGATGTCTGTGAACATGCAAGAGTTGCAGACAAATGAAAAGAAAAATAGCAAAAACTGATACCTGCCCTGCCTGCAGTAGAAGTGGCTTGCACGAACCCTGCACCCTCCACCCTCACGGGTCATTGTTATTAAAGAATGTTATTGTTATTAAAGAATGTGCAATATCAGATAGATAAAATATATAGTGTCCAATGGTGAGATGTAATTTGACATCAATCTTCCAATGATGTCTATAAAGGTAAACTGACCTCTACTTTCCTATGTTTTAAGTTAACATGCCAGCATATAATAGGACCTATGGAACAATTACTGTGAAGCAATAATTTCTGAAATGCAGGCTGTGGGAAGAAATTGCTAAACACCTTTTCAACAACAAGAAAAGGTTGGCTAAGATAGCTAACACCAATCAACTAATTCTTTTCACAACACTTTGCTTGCTTAACATAAAAACCACAGTTCTATCTTGGATAGTATATTACAAGGCCTGAGTGGAGTAGAATTACAAGTACAAAAAGTATTTTTTGTGTGTGTGTTTAAAGAGATAGAAAAGCCCACACATTTCTGCCAAGTTTAAACAGAGCTGTTTTGCATTTGCTTTATAATCTATGGGAATTATGCAAATACTCCTTTTCAGAGAGCCTAATTTTCATGTTAAAAAAAAAGTGTACGCCACCCAAAAATAAAAGAGAATCCAGGTAAATTCAGGTTCCAACAAGTTAAGAACAATTTTGCTGATTAGTTCCTGATAATACAGGGCTGTGACCTTTACAATTAGAAGAATAAAAATTTTCATACATGGTTGCAAGTCAAATTAGGCTGGAAAAGTCAGCACTGTAATTTGTCCTTTTCTGGAGTTTGGGGCCTTTGTGAATAAAATTAATCCTTCAAATTACAGTTTTGTCACAGTGTGCATCAGGCAATGATTAGCTCTAAGTAAGTCTGCAATCTCTTTTGTTTTGTACTGGAGTGTTTTTACATGCAACCCCTCCCCCCCAGGTAGAAAAATAGACCTTTACAACATTATCCAGGCAAAGCTGTACTTTGACCCTATGTACAGACTTATCACTTGCTATTATCTTATATCGCTTCTCCCCCCCCCCCCAGTATAATAAGAAAAAGGCCAAGCCAAATGGTTCAAGAAAACATTTCACTGACAAGAAGGCTTTGAATTTTTTTCTAATGCGATTTGAACATTTTACATTTATCTCCAGGAGAAAAACTATGCACCAATTCTGCCAGAGAAAGCCATCAGAAACCCAGCCAAATTCACCAGCTGGTTTTCGGAACTTGGGAGCAGTGGTTGCTATGAGAGCTTGTTTTCTTCTATATAAACGGGACTCAAAGCAGTGCAACTATAGTCACCACCTTGTCAATTTGTCAAGGCACACCTGGCAAGATTTCTCAAGAGCTCCATTTCCCCCCTTGGTGTAAAGGCAGGAAATGCCTACCATAGCTTCATCCAGCCCTCCCTCAGTTTGCACAATGCAAGTTCTCTAGAATATTGTCTTCTTGCAACAATTAACCTCAAATAGGGTTTTTTTTCTGAAGGCTGTGGAAGGAACCAAGTACACCTGCTTGCCACCACACCACCACATTAATGCAATCAGCCAAGTGGTGAATAAGGTTTTTTTTAAAAACCTCTTTACTGTGAGTTTATTAATGTTGCACATTATTGTATGCTTTCTGTCTTGGTAATGCAGTTCACTGTTAAAATGGGGGGGGGGATATACTCCAAAGCTATTTTTCTCTCTCTCTTGTATTCCCAGCCTCCCTGAAATTGCTGAACTACCACTATCACATTCCTAACCACTAAAACGGGTTGGAGATGCCGGGAGCCATATTTGAAGGTCTAATATCTGGCACATTGACATAAAATGAACTCATTTTCAAACCTGAACCTTTAGAACCTTCTGCAGAGATGGCAGTCAGTCTATATAACTGTAATCTATTTACATTAAACCAAATAGCTCCACAGGCAATTAATTTACTGGGAGCTAATTAAGGATAATGTTATGTCTTATTCTAAATAGGTTGCAAAGAAGGCTGATTCAAACTTCAAGAACTTATAACGGAAAAAAAGCTCATTATATAGGGCTGCTACTTTTGGTAAAACAGTGAACCAAATATTATTAAATATACTGCTATATGAGGTTAGTAATTAAATTGTAGGACTTGGAAGACTACAAAAGAAATTCAGGTACAAATCAATTCAAATCTAGTTGGGGATCAATGTAGAAGAAACAGTTGCTGTTTTCCATAGTGCCACAACTATTTAAAGAGCAATATTTTAGATATTAGTTTTATTTTACAGCTACTTTTGTTTATGATCACTACATTTATGCTCTATTTCTTAAAATCAATCTAGCAGTAAGTCACTATGTTAAGAAAATGCCCTTATCCCTAATGCCACCCAGTGGAACAATTACCCTTAGAAGAGTTTGAAATCCAACATCCTGTGATTGTACAATAGTCTACAAGCTCTCTCATGGTAAGCCTACTCATGCTATTCAGAGGCATAATATCATTGTAAGGAAGGCAAATGGGGGTGGAGGCAATACAGAACGGCATGAGGGCTTGGGACGGCTATTATTGGGTGGGAAAGACTTACTTGAGATACTTGCAATCTATTCTGCTGGCTTCCTCATTGAATTTGCTTGTTGAGAAGCTGGCAGGAAAGGGCCCAAAGAATGATCATGTGACACTGCACCCATTGCAATTATGAACCGGATGCCAAATGCCCAGATTACATTCAAAGGACCACAGGAGTGCTGTGACAGTTTGAACTTCAAGGACCGATTGTAAGTACCATTCATTCAGCATTGCTATTAACTTCAAATAGTCACTGAACTTGTAGTGGAATTTTTTAAGTGAACTTTACCGTAACAGAATCCAGCCTTTGCTTGACTTTTTGCATCCTCATTGATATTTTTGCAACATTTGCAAACTGGTCAGCTGACGATATCATCAGATTCTTCTGGGCAGGAACACTGGCAGACATGCTGAGAGTTTGTGGGCTTCTGGGGGACTTGGTTAGTTGTGATCCACTCAAATCCTTTACTGCCTCAATCCCCTGCTTGGCCACTGAAGAGGACAAAGTTTTAAAAAAAGTTTGAACAATATTAATCATGTCATCATAAAAAAGTACTGAATCCCAGCTATCATGGGAATTAAGGATGTACCCAGTAAAGCTATAAAGCAGAAAATTATAAGATAGCCCACTATGACTTAAATGTCCACAGATTAGGTAGCTCTATGGAGGCAGTCAAAGGACCTCAAAAGCTTTTTATTTAAACTTTCTTGCTAGTTCAAGTACCATCTCTTACAGGTAGTCCCCCACTTATGACTCCAACTGGAACCAAAACCTCCGATGCTAAGTAAGTGAATCACACATGGTTTTGCTACCTTTTTTGCCATTATTAAGTGAATCATTGCAGTTGTTAAGTGAGTCACATTGTCATTAAATGAATCCAGCTTGCTCCACTGACTTTGGTTGTCAGAAGCTGACTGGAAAGGTTGCAAATGGCAGTCATGTGTCCCTGAGACCCTGCGACTGTCAAAAATACATGCAGATTGCCAGATGCCCAAATTTCGATCACATAACGATGGGGATGGTACAAGTGGAAGACCTGGTCATGACTCACCTTTTCCAGTGCCACTGTAACTTTGAACAGTCACTAAATGAATGGTTGTAAGTGGAGGACTATCTGTATTTAGAAAAAGGCGACTTCAAACTTTCATAACTAAGGTGGGACTTGAATAAACACACACACAAAATTACCTTTGTAATCATAAATGTACACAAGGATTGGCTGATTCTGACCAAAGGCACAAAATGCTACCAAATGCTCATGTGGATGGAAAGCAACATCACGAAGGGAGGAAGTGAAAGAAAGATCAGAATACACAGCTACCTGATCACCTGCAAAAGAAAAAAAACCTATATGAGCAAATACTTTATTCACAAATGTTTTTTTTTACAGTACAACAAGTTTGGGGGTACCCAAGCCAACTGAATCTAAAAATGAAAGGATCCTTTCAAGTTAAGAATTGTAAACAAATATCCTGCAGAGCAGGTATAATTTATTATTATCACTTTGGGATATAATGCATCATTAGTGGGTTTTGGATCCCGTTGCAACCGATACACTGTGACATGGCTGTGCGTCCTTGTCGGGCAAGTGCACTGCGTGTGCATGTGCACAATGCCACCCAGCAACACTCAGTTGCTCGGCAGAGGTCGCGCAGGCATCACACGCTGTGTGTGCATGCGCAATTGGCCGGTTTGCATCAAAAAGCGGTAAGGAACATGGGCGAGCGGGTGGGCCAAACAAGTCACCGTTCCGGTACGATGGCTGCTGCTCCTAGCTACCACCGGTATGCCTGTACCAGGCCGTACCGCCTGGAACCCACCACTGTAATGCATAGTGAATAAATAAATGATAAATATTTGTGAATAACAACTGAATTATTAATTAATAAATTGTTATGGTTTGTTGCACAGGGTTTGGCATTTTTTGAATAATCTAGTTCTGGTGATTCCACTATTTGATGTAAACATGTATATCCTTATTGATATTGTATCTTTACATAATTTGATATTATATTGATGTATATCAATTTAAAATATAGATAGAGTGTAACTGGGAAGCATCACTTAACATATACAAAATTCCCAAGAAAAAGGCTTCGAAACTTTTAATTTTCAACCAGAGTTATTTAGAAGGTCCTTTAAAAACATAGGTTACCTATAAATAAACATTTTATGTTTCTAACTTTTCAAAATAAAGAACAAAGGTACCTGTTTCTAAATTCCAAACGTACGCTACACCATCTTCACTTCCAGAAATGAGGAATGTTCCACATGGTGTTAAAGTGCTATGAATTTTTTCTCGATAGTTTGTAGCACCAATATATTTCTTAGTAGCTAAGCTAAAAATAGAGAGAGAAAACATAACTATATATCTACTCTTTTAATTACTGTATGCCACTTCTGATTTTTGGAATGACTACCCTTATGTTCAGATAGTCCTCAACTTACAACCATTCGTTTAGCAACTGTTTGAAGTTACAAAAGGTCAGAAAAATGTAATGGAATGATTATGAGTCCCTGCAAAATCAGGAGGACATTAAAAGCAGGGGGGGAAAAGAGTTAATCTCAAGGCTCGATTGGCAGAAAATCCAGAAATTCTACTTTCTCTACTGGACACCTAAATTTTATGGAGAAATTGCAAAGTCTGTTCTTCTGTTATTTTAAAATAATAAAATATCTGTATCACGCCAAATGGTTTAGTGCTCCGGTTTCAAAATCATCTCAGTAATGTTGACTACAGAGATGTGTCTAATTGGATCTGGAAAGATATGCCTACCAGATTTTTTAAATCCTACATATAGACCTGGATAAAAGATCTAAGAACCCTGGAGTTGTCTACTAACTATTAATATTAAAATATTAAATGGGTGAGAAAATCTATTCACTATAGACCATGAATTCTACAAGTAATGCTTTAAATTCCTTTAGATATGAACTGGAGATGTTTTGTAAAAGTGGGCTCCATATGCCACCAAACCTGGGTTTTTTATTATCTTATAGCCAGTCTTTTTTTTCCCCATAAAATTTTCTTCCTCAGAAGTGCTTTGCTATTATCTTTGTTTTCATTGATTCTGTATCTGAAAAAGAACCAAAATCTTTAGTTACTTTCATCAACTGCCGTATGGAGCTCTGTGGTTGCATAATTCTTAATACTACTTTATCTGCAAAATATTTTGTTTTCCATTCTCCTTGAATTCTGATTTTGATATCTGTTTTTTTTTTTTTTTGAGTCTAAGAAGTGTAAAAGGGAGAGCGGACATTGATGCCTTATGGCTGCATATGCCAAAAATCCTGATAGCAGTATTAACATTTCAGAGGAAAAAATAAGCAGTAATGTACTTCTTATTTCAAGTTTAAATGTGAAAAATCTGTCTTTACATTGCTTGAAGCAGCTGTTGGCAATAAATAAAGAATTTTCTTTGGAAAACATGCCTCTCGTATTGTTGTACTTATCTAATCCAATGTTCCTATGATTCCATGTTCCTGTTTTTTTCTAATTTTGCATTCCAATCACTCTTTATTGGTACTATAGCTACGTCTCTTTAATGTGGTATTTAAATCTTTTACATTCAACTCACTTTATAAATATGTACCAATTCATCGCACCTTATTATTTGGCACCCAAATTTGTCCCAATATTTAGTCAACTCTATGTATCTTTCTTGAAAATATGGAATTAATTTGCCATTCCCTCTTCCAAATTGTAATTTGATGTTCCTTCTCCTACGTAGGTTGGCTTTTCTCAGTCATGTTAAGCCCCATTACTATCCTTAGCACTCTCTCATCCCCCTCTTTAGGCTTCACTGGTAGAGATGGTATCTTTCAGTTCATATCCTTGCCAGCATCACACTCAAATTCAATGAAGCTACTGAGCCTTCCCATTATGTCATAAGTAGGGGTGGGAGGGAAAGGACAGCTCGGAAAAGCTCATTTAATTGGATACTTTATGCCTTTAAGAGCGTTAAGACCAGGATATGTTACAATATCTAGAAGAAATGAGATGCCATTTTTTTAGAAATGCCTCAAACTATCCTGTAGTATTGTTTAAATGGTATAAAACAGAAAACTTTAAAATACTTACATTCGAAGATCCATAATTCTTACAGTACTATCCTTGGTATGGATAAGTAAACGCCTTCCATTTGGATGTACCTCCAAATAATTTATTGCTGTTCCTTTAATGTCACCATCATTTATTTCCTGCCGAAACCACCAAAATACAAAACACAAAATGATTGAGAGCATGTTTACAATGTAATAATAATACACATAACAATAACAAAGCTACCTACCCCAAGTCCTTGGGAAGGACTCAGTAGGTGAATAAAAATGTCTAATAGTCACAACACTGATGGTGTTACCTAACTGAGTATTGAAACATCTGCAATAAAATAACCAAACTCAGAGATCACCAAGGACCTCATAGTTCAACCTTGAGTTACAAATATTTTCTTCCATTGGTATCATTATAAACATGGAGCTGACTGTGCACCAACCATAATATATTAAAATATGCTGCCTGATTCCCACTGACTCTTTAGAATAGTGATACTATAGAGCAGGGGTAGTCAACCTTTTTATACCTACCGCCCACTTTTGTATCTCTGTTAGTAGTAAAAAAATTTAACCGCCCACCCAGTTCCACAGTAATGGTGATTTTATGAAAACCTAATGAAAATGTTTTTAAATAATGCTATGACATTTTTTAAAAAAGTCAATTAAATTTTAAAAAAGGAAAATGCTTCAGTATCGGACAAAACCCCTACCGCCCACCATGAAAGCTGGAACGCCCACTAGTGGGCAGTAGGGACCAGGTTTACTACCACTGCTATAGAGAATAAAAAAGACAACAGAATATCAGTCTTGTTAGATTAGACCAAGTGACCAAGGAATCCATTGTCTTATCAGAAGCCTTTGAAACATCCATAAGCAAGAGATGAATAAAAAAAATTATCTCCTGCTACTGTTTTACAGAGAATGGCATTTAGACTTACACAACTTCTGATCCAGGTACTAGTACAGCTGGGATTACAATTAGACATTAATAACCTTTACCTCTCATTATCGCCCATTAATTGTTAAACTGTTGCTACTCGAGTTTTTAAAAATGCATTCTCTACACAAATTGCTTGTAATTTCAGACCAGTCAAGTTACCAACATAGTTATTGTCTAATGAGGGGAGGAAAGGGGATTTGTGTAAATTGTTTTGAATTGCTGGATGGAATAAATATTTCAAACACCTTAGCAAAATGAATTAAAAAAAAAGGAGTCAAGTACTTAAGTATCAGTGGTCACATATGGATATAAGGTTCTATCGCTCTCACTGTCACAATATTCTTCTGTAAGTAGGTATAGTTATAATACGGGAGCTAGTTTAGTCTAATGGTTCAAATGTTGGGGTATGAGCAAGGAAATCTGACTTGCAATCCAGCTGTAGACACAGACGCTGGCCAGATAACTGAGCCAGTCACTTTCTCCCAGCTCTAGGAAGACCAACAGCAAAGCATTTCTGAAAACATTGCCAAGAAAATGACATGTTGTCCATGTAGGTATCAGGAATAATAATTATCATCATCTTCATAATCATCAGGGCAATAATGTCTATTGCAGCTACTGATTAGTTTATTGGTAATGTAGTGCTGTAATGAGAGGCGTGGAGGCTCAGTGGCTAAGACAAGCTGAGCTTGTCGATCAGAAAGGTTGGTTTGAATCCCTGGTGCCCCATAATGGAGTAAGCTCCCATTATTTGTCCCAGCTTCTGCCAACCTAGCAGTTCGAAAGCATGTAAAAATGCAAGTAGAAAAATAGGAACCACCTTTGGTGGGAAGGTAACAGTGTTCCTTGCGCAGTTGGCATTTAGTTATGCTGGCCACATGACCACGAAGAAGTCTTCAGACAGCGCTGGTTCTTCGGCTTTGAAACGGATATGAGCACTGCCCCCTAGAGTCGAGAACAACTAGCACATATGTGCGAGGGGAACATTTACCTTTAACTACTGTTACCTAAACTGATTGTTTCTGTTTTTACTGTAGTTTTCTAAAATAATTCAAGTTTTTTTTAAAGGAAAGGATTTGTTATTCCCAAATCATCATGCTTTACTCCCTTTTTATTAGAGTGCGAATGCAAATTCAACTATAAACTGAATACTAACATTAAGAAAGCATGGAGCATAAAAAGAGACTATTGGACATGTATACGAGATAAAAATATCTACAGTTAAAGCTTCTAGAAGATTTATATGTATCAGAGTATTAATGATATTAACTTATTCAGAAATATTTTTTTTAAATATCATACAGCAACTAATACTAATAAAAGCAAATTATGTTAAATGTAGTCAGAAATTTAGTTGTGAAACTTTAGAAAATATACATTGCATTATCAAATATGCACAAGATTTTAATACTTGCTGATTTTTTCCGTATACCTTATCAATGCCCCAGTGTTGAATTGGTGCCTGAGAATTTTCTTTAACAAAAGTATTCCAGATAATTATTAACCCAGTGCCATCTCCAGAAAACATGTGAAATCCTAGAAGATAATAGTTTGCTTAATATGATAAATGAATTCTGACATTCAAATTACTCATATAATTTTATTGCATAATAGATTATGCAAAATGTATGTAGTCAAGTATCTTTCTTCCTCACCTACTTTTCCACTTGGCTAATTTGTTTCAGAAACTGGCCCCCCAAACTGTATTTAGATGTTACACAACCACACCCTAAAATAGGGTATCTAAATTGAAAAATTAGCCAAAGTGCACAACATAAGTTATGCATGAGATCTGATAAGAGAAAACCCACATATGTGGTAGTACTGTATGTGGGGAAAAGATCTTAAGACTTTTAAATACTGTATACTTAATAAATGTATTATAAACTGAATGGGAGCTGGCATTGTGAGTTTCAGCAGATAAAATATTTTCATGTAATCTTAAACTTCATTGACAAAAGAATGATGTCTTCCCTGCTATTGGTAATAATTCAATTCTATTACTCCAACATCTCATCCCCAAAATTGTGTTGTCGAACTACATGATTTTTTTCTTTGATGGGAGGTGGTACACAATATCTATCTATCTATATTATTCCACTCTACAGAATGTGCACATTCATTGCTTATCTGGTACCTGAATTTGAAGGTAGTATATTTCCTGTATAAATCCCCCCCACAATTTAACCCTTGTAAATTCAGCGGGTTTTTTCAAATGGCATAAACATCTAGTGGATTCAGGTGGATATCACAATCTTTCCTCTATGTTTGATCAAAACAATCCTTTTTATTATATTAGGGCTTTTTTTCCCACTAGACGTTCCCAGGTATTCCTGAATCTATTACTAGCTCTCAGCCTCCTTAAAAGAATAGCAATAATATGTAATAAAATCCAGAGTAATTACAAAGATGTGATAGGTACTATATGCAGCATTTTTAGTGTGAAACATCTGCAACTTACCTTCAGCATTAAAACACAAAGTATTGATAAAACTTTTGTGACCATCAAATTCTTGTAAAAGCTGCCCATGAATTTCCTTTACTTTTGCATTCCAGACTCTAATTACAGAATCATAACATCCAGTTACAACGAGGTACTCCGCTACTGGATGGAATTTTGCAGCATAGACAAATGAAGGATGTGGGAAAACTTTGGTGGCTGATGTAGCCTGAGCTTCAATTTTCCACATTCTAAATAGAAACAACATTTATAAAGTTGGTGTCTTTTTTTATTAGATAATTTAATAAACCGGTGGTTCGCAACCTTTTCTTCACCATGGACCCCCATTTAAATACCTTTTGTGGCCACAAACGGCAACCAAAGACCCCCAAGACTTAATTCAAGATTTAAATCATTACATTTCTTCAAGTCTTTGTGGCCTTGTGACAACACCCTCTCAGGGGTCCATGGACCACAGGTTGAGAACCACTGCAATACACCATTTCAGTACCAAACTGCGTGTTAATATATTTTTAAAAATGATCTGTAAAAATTTTGAGTCCACTTACAAATATATGACCTGGATAACTTCTGGGTAACAAAGAAGAGTTTACTTAAATCTCTATAATGACTCATTCTTCAATTAATTATTCTATAAAATCAAAAACCATCTGATTCCTCACAATGTTTTTGACTTAAAGTTAAACCATTTAACCTCATCATCTTGTTTAGTATGAACTAGTTTTGAAGCAACAGATTATTTGCATTATTTTTTTTAAAGAATCTGGTTCTGTGGGGAAAAAACCAAATAGAATAAAAGAATGTACATTTTATTAATGGGGGCAGAAATATGAAGCAAGTGATTGAATAAAACCAAAAGGAATGGCTATTTATTTATTATTTAGTTTGGTCAATCGCTATAGTCACCAGCTCTGAGATTATATATGCACACATAATTGTGTAAGAGATGTGGAGAAAAAGAACAAAAGCAATAATCCTGGTTTTTAATGTACATTTGTTCTATATCTATTCTTTTGACAAAGTGTACTTTGAGTTCTGTTCAAAGCAGGGCTTTACAAAATCTGTTGGAAAAGAATTTACATTTGAAACATTCTGCATATTATTATTATTCATTTACTTGATATGAACGTAACTGTTTGTCCTCATCTTGTCTCTTTGGGTGAGTGCCTTTTGCAAGCATGTACAGTATATACATAAGAGGATGGCTACATGTAGTCAAACTCATGTCTGAAGCACATACTATTTACTGGGGACTGGCTTCACTAGACTTGGCAACCCATGACTGATAAGCTGTGTTTTTGTTGCTGTTTTAATCCCCCCCCGCCCATCTCCTCTTCTGATGGGTGTATGACTATCTTAATTTGGGGCAATTTTCATTTCAGGTATACTGCATACCTCAATTGTAACAGGAGAAAGTTGGTTATACTGACCTTGCAGTGCCATCTGAGGAAGCAGTAAGAAGATGCCGATTATCCTTTGACCAACAAAGATCATACACAATGTTCAGATGTCCATAGAACTCCCTTAGGTAGCATCCTGAAGGAATCTCATACACTAATAAAGAGCACAATAGAATCTTTTAAGAATCTAAAAATAGTTAAGTATTTAAAGCAAATACATGAAACAAGTAAACAACTTTGAATTTGAAAAGGATTCTTCACATAAGGCATTATGATTGATAGATAGCATGGTGATGAAGTCTTTATTTTTGCCAATATTAAACCAACAATCAGAGGTTAGAGTTTCTTACTTTTAGGGAGGAAGGCAAAATTATTCTTTTTCATCATATATTTGAAGGTTAAAATATTTTGCTGGTGATTACTGTATAGTTGAATGTGATGTTATGATTCTTAATGCCATTCCTTTATTTGACATTGGTTTATGGTTATGATTGTGTTATTATGTTTTAAAATATACAAGCCACCCGTAACGCAGGATGGGTATAAATGTTATAATAATTATATGGATAAAAGGAAATAATTTCATAAAATTGGTATTTGTAATAATAGTCACAGCAAAGTAATCTATTTTCTTAAAGAAATCTCACTGTTTCTGTGTTCATTCAGCTCTACTGGTACCTAAGTTTAAGTAAATACTCAAGTATCTGTTTACTACCATCTAGTGGCTGGAAAGTGAAATAGCGAGTATTTAAAGTATAGATCCCAGTACAGAGCATCATAAAACCAATCTAGATGAAGAAAAACAGTATTTCACTTTTCTGTTGTTCATAGTTATATACTGCTTATTGTTCATCATTTATTTCATTTTTGTACAACATCCATGCTTTCTTTTATATTATTTTCCATATTTAAATCATCTCACAATCAGTGGCAGGAGAGGTTCACACAGCATGCAAATTCACAATATAGTAGTTTAAATCTAGTTATTGTTGTGACTCTTTGTTAAAATTTACCAGGATGTATCAATTTAACCAACTATGACTTACACATATACAAAAATCCCTAATTAAGCAACCCATGGCTTAGTAAAAAAATGCATAATTAGTTGAAGAGTAGATACATGCGCATGTGCGAGGAAGATGGCTGCCGAGCCTATCGCTCCGGCTCTACCTAAGTAAAAAGTACCTTGGAAGAGGCGAAATTGTGTCCACAAACTGAGCCAAGTAGATTCTGAGGATGAACAACTCCTATGAGCGCCGGTGCCGGCAGTGAATTGGAGAGTCTCTGCTCTCCAGAGCTGCTGGGCACAAAAGACACCGGCGCCCCGCCGCTTGAAGACTCCGTGGCCCAGCTGTTCGGGAATCTTCGTGGAAGCTGTTACCACGAGCACTGTGGCCGGCTGAGGATACCGCGGCTGAATTGAGAACGCCACGGCCCAGACGCTGAGAACGCCAGATGCTGAGATCGCCGCGGCCGCCAGGAACTGCACGGCCCTCCTGCGTGAGAACGCTGAAGCCGCCGAGAACAAGGCCACCTGAGAGCCCCGCGGCTTGAGATCGCCGCGGCCGCCAGGAACTGTGCGACCCACCAGCCGGAGAACGCCAAAGCTGCTGAGAACAAGGCCGCTTGAGAACGCTGTGGCTTGCGAACGCCACGGCCCAGCGGTCCTGGAGGAGCCATCAGCTATCGGCCACAATTACTGAGGCCGCCTGAGAGCGCCGCCAGTCCAGCTGCTTGAGAACGCCAAGGCCCCATGAGAACGCTGCGGCTTGTGAACGTCTGGAGGAGCCTATGTGGGGGAGCCCCGACCCTACTGTGACTGCCACCAATCGCTGCGGTCTCAGCTGTTGGAGGTCCATCTTGGGTGGGGGTGGGGGGCTGACCCCTGTTTTGTTGCCTGACTGCCTCAACTGCTGCTGTGCTGTTGCGGGGTTAAGATTAGGGTCAGGGTTAGGGCTAGGGNTGGAATGCTCTATCTGACTCCGTTGTTACAGCCTCAAACCCACACAGCTTCAACCTCAAACTGTTCTACCGTGAACCTCACCCCATTCCTAAGAGGTCCGTAAAGGGGGCGTGCATATACGCACCAACCTGCCTTCCCTCCCTGTCCTATTGCCCCCGTTTATTTGTATTCATTTCTTTCATTCATATCCATGTTTATATTTGTACCTGCTATCTCCATGGTGGCAAACCTATGGCGCACATGTCAGAAGTGGCACATGGAGCCATTCTTCCCGGCCCGTGCAGCATCACCCGGTCATCTTCCAAGTTTGTGGCGCACATGCACACATGATGATCAGATGGCCTTCGTGCATGCGGCAGTGCTGGAAACTGGGGCATTTTCCAGTGCGGACATGCATGCAGGGCAGCTGATCGTCGTACGTGCCTGTGTGCCGGTAACTGAAAGACTAGATGGCCCTGTGCGCATGCACATGCTGGAAACCGGAAGTCCATTTCCCCCTTTGCATGTCCCCTTTGCAGCTCCTCTTCTGGGTTGTGCGAGTACGCGCTCCGTATTTGGCATTTGGTGCCGAAAAGGTTCGCCATCACTCTGCTATCTTATACATGTTTGACAAACTAATCAATACAAATATAAATGCCGAGTTGCAAAAAGTGATCACATGATCTTGGGACACAGCAAAGGTCATAAATACGACCCAGTTGCCAAGCGTCTGAATTTTAATGACAAAATCGAAACTACGAAAAACAGTCATACAGTAAGTCCCATTTTTCACTGCCGTTGTAATTTGGAGTGGTCCCTAAACAAACTGTCGTAAACCGAGGACTACCTGTACTGCCTGATTGCCACAATACCTTTGCATTTGATTGAGAATACTTGTCCTCTTTACCTTGTCCCCCCACAACCCCGAAATAGCCACCTTGTCTGACAATGATTATAGGAAATGTATAGCCTGAATCCCCTTTTTTGTTTCTATGGTTAAAAGTTCCCATGGTAGCAGATCGATTTTATTTATTTATTTTTTTCATTTTTTTCATTTTACACTGCAGAGCGAAAGACTCATTAGCTAGTTCTCTTTCATTCCTTCTAGTCATCGGGGAAAATAAAAACACAAAATCTTCCCCGGGTTTTCGCACTAAATTCTTGGCACCATGTCAGGATGTCGAACCATGTTCTCGAAAAGAAGAAAGATTAAAATGTCCCTTTTGAGCTTGTTTAAATTAAAAAATACATACGGCGGCACAGTTTTCTAAGTGACCCCGGGAAGCTGTTTAAAACTACTTTGAGATTTTGGGTATCTGCAGCAGGATATCGCATAACAGAGGAGCCAAGATGAATTGGAATCCGAAAGGAAGGATTTGTGTCTTTTTTTTTCCAGGAGAGGAGGTCTCTGGTTATCATCTGAATTTCAAAATGGCTTTGGCATTGAATATTCTCCCCATCTACTGAGGGATGGAATAACTCCCTTCGCGATTGCTAGGCTTCCTGATATTCTAAATCTGCTCCACTTCAATTCTCTATATCCTCAGTTACAGATCTGTTTTGTCATAGCAACAGCACTTAGTACTTAGACCAGCCGGGCCAAACTCGGTTTCATTGAGGGCTGCTTAGGGGCTGTGTTTGACCTTGGAAGGCTGGGGTGGGCATGGCCAAGATGATTGCACTCATGTTGGGGGGCGCCTGTGGTGGCTTGAGTGCTCTCTCAGTGAAAATGGGCTTCTGAGCTTTTTATTTTTTCTGTACTGGGAAAAAAAAGTGACTTATGGCCGATCCTCACACTTAATGCCTTTCACAAATCCCTTCAGTCACACAATACAAATTCAAGTGCTGGGTGGCAGCACCTCGTCTACTTATGACAACTGGGTCATCTGATCACCGTTTGCAACCTTCCCAACCAACTTTCAACCACCAAAGTCAACCGAGGAAGCTGGGTTCTCATAACACCTGCATGATTTGCTTGAAACCTGCAGTGATTCATTGAACAATCATGGTCATAAGATTGGGCACATCTCATTTAACAACGGCCTTGCTTAGCAATAGAAAGTCCAGTCCCAATGGTGATCATAAATCAAGGATTATCTTTAATGAGCAGCCTAATAACATCTCTCTATGCGTTGTGGCCTGCCAACAGCCAGCAGAGTAGATTCGGGACAGTGAGGAGGTTGGGGAGGAACATGGGCCAGTCCTGGAGTCTGGGGAAGGCTCTGATGAGGGCTCTGTGTCAGAGGCAGAGAAGGGGCCAGAGCCGTATGCCAGTTATCTGCTGCCTTCAGAGTCAGACATCAGTGAGGCAGAACGAACAGCTGGAGCCTGATCCCAGTGTGAGCATGCACAAAGTTGCAAGATGAAGGGAAGAGCTAAAGAACAGGGGTCAACTTGGGAGTGAATGTGTAAGTAGTAAGGGAGTAAGACCACAAGGGGA